TGTCTTGTGCAACAGATTTTCCCAATGAAATGCCTTCTTTGATCTCTTAAGTGCTGCTTCTATGAGCATTGGTTGTGGATCCAAGCAAGACAAAATCCTTGAAAACTTCAGTCTTTTATCCTTTGATCATGGTGCTTAACTAGACCTATTGGTCCAGTTGTGAGAACTTTTGTTTTCTTTGCATTGATTTGTAATACATACTGAAGACAGCAGTCTTATTCAGCAAATACTTTAAGTCCTCCTCACTTTCAACAAGCAAGGTTGTGACAACTGCATCCTCCATTCCTGATGCCTCACTCTTCCTCTTATAATCCAGCATATTTGACTATTTGCTCATCAGACAATTGAATAAGTACAAAGAGAGGATATCTGCATTGTGCACACCTTTTCTGATTTTAAATCATTCAGCACTCCCTTATTCTGTTCACACTGTTGCCATTTGATGCATATGCAGTTTTGGCATGAGCACAATGAAGGGCTCTGGAATTCCCATTCTTCTCAGTGTTATCCATAGTGGAATTCCTTTGCATAGTCAGTGAAACTCATATACATATCTGTGGTCTGGGTAGACTAGAGAAACAAATCCTGGGGGACTCGTGTGTAAGAAAGCTTTATATACAAGAGCAATTGAATCAAGGTCTTTAGTTTAAGAAATGCTGAGTATGTACTTCCTTTATGGTTTTCTAACTAGGTCTTTGCACATTTCATTCTAACAGTTTACTTTGTCTCATTGAGCTGCCCTTTGGAAATGACTGTTCTGGTTAGACTTTTTTGTTTTTTCCATTTCATTAGCCACTCTGATTCATAACAAGCTTCCAAGTGTGTTTTGACATCCAGTTTGATCTTCTCTTTGCCTGTCCTTTTGAGCTTTTGATTTTTTTCATAAACGGTATTCTTGATATCATCAGATCTTCTGTATTAGTGTTCAGTGCATCAAATTTGCCCATGAGATGTTCTTTACTTTCAGATGGGATAGCACCAAGATTGTCTTTTGGCTCTAGTGTACTTGTTTTCATTTTCTTCAGCTTAACCCTGAACTTTGCATATGAGCAATTGATGATCTACTCTACAGTCAGCTCCTGGCCTGGGTTTAGCTGCATGGTCTGTTCCCACAGATGTAATGGTTTGGTTTTTGTGGCTTCTATGTGGAGCAGTCCATGGGTAGAATCGCCTTTTTTGCTGTTGAAAAAGGGATTTTCAAGGAAGAAATTCTTGGCCTTGCAAAATTCCATCGTGTGATCTTCGGATTCAGTTCTGTCACCCAGACTATATTTTCCAGCTACTATTTTTCTTCTTTATTTACAACTTTTGCATTCCACGTACCAAAAATTATCAATGCATCATTATTGCATGTGATCTATTTCAGACTGAAGGCTCTCATTTTTTTTTTATCACTAGCTTTAGTAGCTGGTGTTTGAATTTGAATAATTCTTATATTGATTGGATTTCCTTGTTTTCTGCAAGATATTTTATCACAGACAGGTTTATACTTCAAGATAGATCTTGAAATGTCCTTTGCGAAATGTCACTTGACTACGAATGTGATGCCATTCCTCTTGAATCTGTCATTTCCAACATCATAAACATACGGTTTTCTGTCCCAATCCAGTTGACCTCAATAATGCAGAGAACATAGTTCTATTTGCATTCTATTACCTTTGACAAATTTCAGTTTTCCCTAGCTTTATGGCATAGTGGTTATGCTTAGGGCTGCTAACCTCAAGGTTGGCTGTCCAAAATCACCAGTGACTCCTGTAACAAGTTACCATCTCAGAAAATACCTGGCATTGACACAGTGGTTGTGTATATACTTTGTATATTCCAGGTTCTAAGTATTTATTGATGTTGCAGCACTTTCATCTCATTTTGAGTTCTGCCCTATCAGCAAGTGAAGGTCTCAGAGGTTTTACTCCCACAAACTTACTACATTCCAATCATTTTGGTCAACTCTGCTTTCAGAAGGTAGCTCTACTTCAGTTATATCTGGAGTGCTTGTGACCCGAGGGGTTCCTCTTCAGACATTACCTATGTTTATGCTTCTGGTCATGTGGTCTTGATTGTCAGACAAGGATTCAATGCTATCCATAAGGTTTTCAGCAACTTATTCCTCAGAAATGGGCTGCCTACCCCTTCATAGTCTGTTCTTAGTCTTGAAATCTTTTTATCTTGGGTTATCCTGCTGGTATTTGAAATACCAGTAACAGTATAAAACCTTTTTGATGTTTTATTTCATGTAGAACCAGAATTTGGTTAATGCAGGTAAAGTTTGTCACTTGGATTCTGTCCATAGTGCCTTTAC